GGTGAGGAAGATGAGAAGACTCTCTCCGCCCGCACCCCCACATCAATCCTCCGTCTCCCTCTCCATCATCTGCACACCTACTCCGTGTCGAAGAAGGAGGGGACAGATGTGCGAGCACGAGGAAGGGAACAGGGGTGGATGATGGCGGCGGGAGAATGCTGGTGGGAACGGCGGCGAGGATGAGGATGGGGATGAGGAGGAAGGAATTTGGAGGGTGAGGGGTCCGAGGTGATGCCATGTTCCTCCTTCCCCGTCGTCGGCACATCTCTCCCTCTTCGGGGAAGGGAAGGGTGCGTTTGCGATACTGCTGGGGTGAGCGCGTAGCAGGGACGAGGCGGGTGACGATGATGATGATGATGATGATGATGATGATGTTGATGATGATGATGATGATGATGATGATGATGATGATGATGATGATGATGATGATGATGATGATGATGATGATGATGGTGGTGATGATTCTGCTAAGGCAAGCGCGAAAAGGAAGGCTGCCATGAAGAGGCCCGCCATCGCCATAGCACTATGCGACGCCGACGACGACGAGGGGGAAGAGTCGGCCGACGGCGCAGGCGGCGATGGCGACGAGGAGGGCGCGGGCGAGATTCCAACCCCGAGTGAGCGAAGGACGCGCCGCCAAGACCAAGAAGGCAACGCCCGCTCACAGGAAGGGCGACGCGGACGACCTTGGGCGCGGCTCTGCGCCCGAGGCGACCCCGACCAAGACGAAGAACGGCAAGAAACCAAGAAGGCGATGAAGTCCACGCCGCGCGCGCTTCACTCCGAAGGCCTGCCGCGCGACCAGGAAGGGGGCATCGGTCGCCGGCAGGGCTCCGACCGAGATGAAGGATGGTGGCGGGGAAGCCCACGCGGCTCCCGCGGCGAGCAGGGACGAGCTCACCAGGGGGCAGCCGATCCAGCGGCGGCGAGTGATCAGCATCGTTGTTTCGCAGCGGTTGACTCTGCCGCCGCACGCTCGGCCTCCTCCTCCTCCTCCTCCGCCTCCTCCTCCTCCTCCTCCTCCTCCTCCTCCTCCTCCTCCTCCTCCTGCTCGGCCTCCTCCTCCTCCTCCTCCACCTCCTCCTCCTCCTCCTGCTCCTCCTCCTCCTCCTCCTGGCACTTCGTTCGCCGGTCCGCAGGGGCAGCGCCGCTGCTCGGGGGGGAGGCTGCGGCGCGGTGCGGGTGCGCGTGTGCGCGGGCGCCTGGCTCGCGCAGAGCAGGCCTCGTCCTCCGCAGCCTCGTCCTCCGCAGCCTCGTCCACTGAACCTTGCGTGTGGCGTGGTGACGGGTTGGCCCGTTGCGCCCGCTGCCTGAGGAGCTAGCCTACTTCATTGCTCGGATGTTTGGTTCGGAGTCTTCTGGAGGGGAATCGGCCACGGCTGGGACTTCATAAGCCCAGTCAAGAGTAAGTCTCACCTCTCCCTCACTCGGGCCGCATGGGGAGGGGAACGAGCCCTGAACTTGGCATGGGAACAAGCATGCCAACGATTTATTTCAGATGGGGGGTTCGGGGCACCCCAGCTACCCGTACAACAGGACTCATCGGGACCGAGTTGTCCAGCAGGTGCGACAGAGTGCTTGGGTGATAGTCGAAGTGATCGACAGCCTTAGCCGTTCGTGCGCGCCTGACGTTGGCTGGTGTTAATTTGGCCCCCGCGCCGCAAGAAGAATGTGCCCGTCCGTGAGAGGGGTTCGTCTCCCGCCCGAATCTCCCTCTCTTCATGCGGAAGCCCCCCTCGAATTGCCCCACAGGCCCACCGTTCCCACCGCAAGTGGTTTTGCGGGGGGCAAGGTCTGGCTGTGCACCGACTGCGGGGCCTTCGGGAATGTGCGTTCAGGTTTTTGTTGGTCCCGGCCGTGCCCGAGAGGACCTCCAGACGAGTCTCGTGTGCGAGGCCTTCTTTTGTTACAGCGGGGGGTCAACCCAAGGTCCGCAGGAGAGCTTGGCAGGCCTGTCCCACCTGGAATGCACGCTCGGCCAGGGCTGGCGATCCAGCTATGCCCCTGGCCACGGAGCCTGACCTTTCACCTCCTGCCAGCCACCTCTCGTGCTGTCTGGTGTGGTGCCCCGGTCCAGACGGGGAGCGATCCTCCTCGCGCGACTGGAGCGGCGCCCCCGGCGTGCAGGCCAGGGCCGCCCAGCGCTTCTGGTCTCTGCGCGTGGCAGAACATCGGCCAGGGGGGGGGCTTCGTCGCTCGGCGTCTGGCATTAAGTCGGGCCTGTCCCCCTACAGGGGGATTTTCGACGAAAAATTACAAATGTCCCCAAAATTGTCTAAAAATACTCTAAAAAAATAGTCTGGAAACTATATTTCACTATTTTTCGACCTTCTTGGGGCATTTTTGGGGTATCTGTTTTTTGTTTCTTTTTCCGTTGAAAATCCCCCTGTCGAGGGACACGCCCGACGTAAGTCCGGCACTGTGAGCGAGCGGTTGGCAGGTGGCCGTGCTGCCTGCACGGCTGCTCGGCCAGCGGCGTGGCGGCCGTGGACCGGCACGGCCTGCACGGCCCGCGTGCCTCCGTGCGGCTCGGCCGCTCGGCCTCTCCCGTCCGACACGTGCGCCCCGGGCGGCTGCTCTGTTGTCTGTGCAGGTAATGCCACGTGCCGGCCTACAGGGCAGTTTTTTTTTATACATAGGATCTCAAAGACATTGGATGTTAAAAACATGATTCATGTATGATTGAATTTACGCATGAACTCATCGTTGTGTTTAATACTGAATCCCTGCATCTTTAGTACATGATCCGCACGCGGAGCATGTATAAAAAACGGCACTGCAGTGGGACCCTCTGCAGCGGAGCAGGCATGGGGCAACAGGGAGGGAGAGGGAGAGGGGGAGGGGGAGAGGGAAGACGGGGCGAAAGGAGGGGGAGGAGGGGGAGGAGGGAGGAAGAGGGGAATGGGGGAGGGGACATTCCGAAGCAACCTCCCGCGACTGCACTGCAGAGGACGCCCCCCTGGGGAAACCAAAAAATATCGATACCGCTACTCCCTGAACCTCTTCCCTGGTGCATTCTGACCAGAATTTCGAGGCGAATCCAGCGGTGGCGACGAGGGCCTCCCAGGAGGCCCCAAAAATGGCACCGGGCAGAGGGTAATGGCCTGGGTGCTGCTTCCTCCTCTGACCCCCAGCCGTGTCCTCGGCGGCGGCCCTGGTGGCGAACTGGTCGCCATCTTGACTGTTCGAGGGCCGACGCGACGCTGGCTCCTGCGCTGAGGCGGCGGCCGAGGCTGGCTCCTGCGCGGAGGTGGCGACGACGCCGACGGCGGCTGCAGCGGCGAGGACGACGACGAGGACGACGGCGGCGAAGACGACGAGCCTTCGAAGCAGGGCGAAGCCAGGACGAAAATAAAACTGGATGGGCAGATATCGAGGATCCCTGAGATCCCGCGGCTCTGGAGGACGTCTCGGGCACCGCGGCCTTCTCAGAGCGTTCTGGAACGCTCTAGAACGGATGTATCCTCGTCCTAGCCCCGTCCGACTTCCGAGCCCGAATAAGAAGCCCATAGGCATAGGCCAGATCATGCTGGAATAGCCCAAGATGAAGCCCGATGAAGCGGGATTCGGCGGGCCATGTCGGATTAAGCCAGCTTTCGGCCACGGACCTACCGTCGCCGATGTTGCATTTCACCTCCCAGAAGATTCCAAACGAATGTGACAATAACGACGGCGGCGACGACGACGGTCGACTGCGACGTTGCAATGTCACGACGTCGATCCTTCGCAGGTTGTTGTCCTGGAGGGGGTCCCATAAACATGCTTTCGGTGGGACGACGACAACGACGACGACGTCGCCGCCGACGACGACATTGACATCGACGACGACGACGACGACGACGACGAGGAGGACGAAGACGAGGACGAGGGCCATACTTTGAGTAGAGTCTCGACGAAGACGATGAGGATGAGGATGAGGATGAGGATGACAACGATGACGACGATGACGACGACCACCACCACGGCGACGGCGACGGCGCCAGCCCGGCGCCGGCTGGTGCGAAAGAGAGGGAGGAGGGGGAGCGACAACCCACCCCCTTCCTCGTCCTCTTCCTCTTCCTCCTCCTGATCCTCCTCCTCCTCCTCCTCCTCCTCCTCCTCCTCCTCCTCCTCCTCCTCCTCCTCCTCCTCCTCCTCCTCCTCCTCCTCCTCCCTCCTCCTCCTCCATCCTCCTCCTGATCCTCCTCCTCCTCCTCCTCCTCAGTCTCCCCCCCCCCTGCTGCGCCCCAGCTTGCTGTCCTCGACGATCTGCGACAGCCTCGGCTCCTCTCACGGGGGACAGGGGAAGGGGATAGAGAGGAGGCAGAAGGGGAGGGAGGAAGGAAAAGAGGAGGGACGGGGGGGGGGGAGTGAGGGGAGGAGGGAGGGAAGAAGGCGGAAGGGGGGAGCGAGGGTCGGGAAGGCGGCACACGTGCGGGGAGGAGGGGACCAGCAAGCAAAGCGCAGGCGGGAGCATCCTTCCCCCTTCCTTGCACCCGACCCGTTTCTCGCCCCCCCCCCCCTCCCCCATCCCCACGCCCACGGCCCTCCCCCTCCCTAGCCCTCCCCCCCGCTCTCCCCCCGAGGCACCCACAACGGTGACGGATAGGCACGGCAGCACATAGGGATGTGGGCTGCCGTCTTCCTGCCCATGTGGTGCAGAAGAAGAACTTCTTAGAACACCGTTCGTAGAAGCCTTCGGAAGGCCTCTTAGAAGGCCCCTGCCTTCTAAAAGGCCACCGTGCCCTGAGAGAACGCAACTCACCTGGCGCCACCCCATTTTTGCGCGCCGCCGAGGGACGCTCACGGGGTGCTGTCTCTCGCTCGCACTGGCATCATGCCAACATTAAGCCGGGTCTGTCCCTCTACAGGGGGAATATTCAAAAAACGTTCAAGACTAGTCTGGGGACTATTTTTCTAATATGTTCGGGCATCTTTTGAGCATGTTTGGAGTATGTTTTATATTCCGTCGGAAGTCCCCCTGTAGAGGGACACGCCCGACTTAATGCCAGCAGGGGCGGCGAAGAGGCAAGCTTGGCAGACAGTACGCCGCATGCCGGACAGCACGCGCTGGCCACGAGTGCGCACGAGGAGCCTGCAACGGGCAGCGACAGGAAGTACGAGCACAGCCAAAATCGTACCACGAGGAACCCTGGACGAGGACCGAAGCCACCCCTTTGGGGCCCAAGCAGCGCCTGGCTGCAGGGGGAGCGCCGAAAGAAACCCGCAGATCATCGAGCCCCTGCCGCAGTGAAAGCGGACTGGATTCCCAAGGCGTGGCACGAATGCGCGCAAGACTACACAGGAGCCAGCTCTACACCACCACCATGCGGTCGGACCTGGGACAATAGATCACCCTTCAGGAACATGACACCCTCCGCCGGCGAAAACACCCCAAACCAGAAGATCACTCGAGGGTACCCCCCAGGATGCATAAGAACATCAGACAAGCACGAAGAACCTTAGGGCACCCTCCCCGAACCGACCTCAAGCTTATATCTCGGTCCGTCCGTACCTGACCAGGGCCATCGTAAGCTTGTCGCATGGTGTGTACGCCCTCCTTGCCTCGATCTGGAGGGTCGTGTACAGCAATCTAGGGCCCAGGAAGGCCACGGCAAAGCATGGTGGTGGTGCATAGATGCTTGCTCGGGATCCATGCAATAGGACAGGAATGATGTCGCGGTGGGACTTGCTCAGGATGAGCTCCAGGATTTCCTGGATACCCAGCGGCCCTGGAACATCAAGACATCTAGAAAATCCTGGCACCCTTGGAACGTCTCATTTTCGGGGGCGCACAATAATGGATCGGGGGAGGTGCCCTCCCCGAAATGCGGCCAGTGCCGCCTCGCTCGGCGGCGGAAATCCGCGATTCCCCATGGAAACGGGACCCGCCGCTGATCCACGCCCCATTGATCCATGCTTGCGATCGCCTGACATTGGAGGCCTGGAAATTGGCACCAACACCAGCATAGGGGGTTGCCTCCACATGGAGAAAATGATCCTAGATTTCGGTGTTGGGGATCATATGTCGGTCACCCTGGAAACCAAAACATTACCACCATCACCGAGATCGGCATCGTCTTCCCTCGGTGGAGGCACACCGCCGATCTTGGTGTTGGTGTCAACCTCTGGGGCCTGCGAATGCATGACATTCTCGTGACCTCTTGCTCCTCCGAAGCCAAAGGCCCCCATCTTCGCGCTCCGCGCTGCACGAGAGCGCGAAGCGCGAACAAAAACTTCGCGCTCTCGCGCCGCCTCCCAAAGGAGGATGAGGAGGATGAGGAGGAGTCGGAGCCGAACCGCGAAGCGCGAATAGCTTCGCGCCCTCGAGGGCGCACTTGCTCTTGCTTTAAGTCGGGCCTGTCCCCCTACAGGGGGATCTTCGACGAAAAATCAAAAATACCCCAAACAATAACGAAACAAATCCTCCCAAAATAGTCTCGGGACTAGTATTGGAAGATTGTCTGACCTTATCTGGGGCACCTTTTGAGTACGAGTAAGTTTTCGTCGAACCCCCCCCCTGTAGGGGGACAGGCCCGACTCCGCTCCTGCTCCTCCGAGGCGCGCATCTCCCCCGCAGCGCGCCGCGCGGCCTTCTGCCGCACGGCCCCCCCCCGCGGGGCCCCCCGCTCCCCAGGAGGAGGAGGAGGAGGAGGTGGAGGAGAAGGGGAGGACGGGGAGAAAGAGGGGGAGCGAGAGAGGAGGAGGAGGAGGAGGAGGAGGAGGATAGGAGGAGGAGGAGGAGGACGGAAGGGGGAGAGGAGGAGGGGGAGCGAGAGAGGAGGAGGAGGAGGAGGAGGAGGAGGGGGAGGAGGAGGAGGCCCCCGGGGGCCCCGCTCCGCGGCCCCGCGGCCCGAGCCCCCCCCCCCCCCCCCCCCGTGCGGGGCCCTCCTTCCCTGGGCAGCTCCCCCGCGCAGGGGCTCGGTGTACACGCAGCGAGGGGCCCAGGGACGCGCGCGAGTACACATATCCTCCCAGCCTTCCCAGAGGTCTCCCGGCCTGTCCCACCTCTCACCCCCCTAATTTGTTCCCCCTAGGAGCCCCCTAGTCCGCACGTTTCCCAGACTTCCTTACTTCCCATAGATTCCCCGGCATGCCCCACATCTCCCCCCTATGTTTCCCCCAGGAGCCCCTATTCCGCATATTTCCCATACTTCCATACTCCCAAGATTCCCCGGCATGTCCCACATGTCCCGCCTTTCCCCCAGGACCCCCCTTTTCCCAATGTTCCCCATGTTTCCCCCGGCGCGTCCCGGGAGCCCCCGCATTTCCCATATATTCTGGACGCTTGTATTACCCCGCCAATGCCCATATGTTCCAGATCTCCCTGGGAATTTGCATTTGGTTTGTGTCTGTGCCTATTGTTTCCCTCCTGAGTTCTGCTTACTGCTCTTAGGAACGAGTGAAGTGCGCCCTCTGCCAAATCCAGCATCCGTGGGGTGTGGTCTCCCGCATGGCCTCCCGTGCTGCCTCCCGCCTGCGAAGGGTCTCCGATACAGTGCCCAGCAATGGTCCACTGCATGGTCCAGGGTCTCCCACCGGGTCTCGCGTGTACGGTTTCCCGTGCGGTCTCCTACCTGGCTTCCCGTGATCACGGTCGCAAGCAGTCTGGCTCTCCGTTTGGTCTCACGTTTGGTCTTCCGCATGGTCTCCCGCATGGCGATCTCTGCTCCCCGTACTGTCTACGTCCCCATCTTATTCTGGTTTTCCCTGAACAAGTTTTTTACGGAAATTAGATACAATGCCTAAGGCGCTGGCGGATCCGGAATCGGCCAGGCGACGGCTGCCCCACTGGGCCCCCTTCGCCCCTGCACGGCCGCCCCCCCCCCCCCGAGGACACCCACAGGATCCCGGCGGGCTCGCCCCCTGCTTCTCATCCGGCATCGCTCCTTGCCGGGGCCTGGTGCCAGGGCGCCAGCTGAATGGGCCTCGCCGTGTTCGTTTTGCTTTCGCTTTCTATCGGTCTGTCTCCCTTCCGCCTAGATTCGAGGCCAAAACGCAAACGGTCCACGATATCGCCCAAACATCGTTTAGCTCGCGCCCTGACTGCGAGAGCCCCAGAAGCCACGAACGGCCAAAACCCTTCGACGACGCTGGCTCTCTCGTGATGCGAGGGGGCCTGGGTCTGGGTCCCGGGGGTGAAGACTCCCACCCCCGGGACCTCTTCAGGGGTGCGCTGTCGGCAAAATCTCGAAGCGAACCAGGCCGTGACAACGAGCCGCGTGCCATAGGCCCACAAAACAAGGAAGATCTCACACCACGCCCTCCGAGGGGCAAAGACGCTCGACAACGTCGACTCTCGAAACTCGACCGACGAGCTTCGACGCCACCTCCTTGCACCCGTGTGCGCACGCCAATGCCACGCAGGCCTCAGCAGAACCGTCCCCGCCGCGGCCCGCGCGCCGTGCGGGGAGCGAGGCGCGCCACAGCGGCCGCCGGCGCGCGCGCCTCACACCTGGGAGGCGGGTGGGGAACTCCCCCGGACACGGCTGCCGGAGCAGAGGAACAAGCAACAGAATGATCCTCACAGTCGGAAGACGCCAGGGGCGCCGCCAGGGGGGGGGGCCCAGCGCCGACCTGCGAAAATCTGCGCGGAGCTCCGAAAGTTTGGGCGTATGAAAGTGCTGTTTTTCTTCGACGGAAGTGGGGGGCCCAGCCGGAGATCGACCCTCCCCCGTGCTCGCCCGCAGGCGCCGCGCTCCTCGTGCGGCTTTCTCGGGGGGGCGTTCTTGAGCGGCTCCACGATCGCGGGGGCCTCCTCGTCCTGGAGGCCGCGGGGCCGAGAGGGAGGGGGGGAAGAGGGAGAGGGGCGAGAGGCAACTCCTGGGCGGTCTTTGCAAGAACGAGGAGGGTCTGGTGAACCCGATGACGGGCCATGGAGCCAGACGAGATAGAGCAAGTGGAGTACATGTGAATTGGCGGATTGAAGCGGGACTAATGTCGGAGCAGGTAATTACGTTTCACACCACGCATCTGCCAGCGCACATGCGGACGTGAACCTCCTGGGAGTTGCATCCTGAGGAAGCGGAGAAAGAGAGAGAGAGAGAGAGAGACAGATAGAGAGAGAGAGAGAAGAACAAACAGACAAACAAACAAACAGACAGACAGACAAACAAACAAACAGACAGACAGACAAACGGACAGACAACGGGAGGGGAGGAAGGAAACCGAGCAAGAGACGGCGGCCGCGAGCACGGCGAGGGCCGAGACTGCCCCGCGCTCCCGCTGCAGCCCTCTCACCGCGGTCCTATCCCTATGCTGGGCACCTCCTCATCACGATGCCAATCTTGGGGGTTCCCTTGTGTTTTGAGGGCGAATCCCTAAGATTGTCATCGCCTTTGGGCGTGCCAACCTTCGGGATAGGGATACGTTCGAGGCTGGTAACCAGTGCGCCTGTGGTGCTCCTGGGTCGCCTGCTTTCGCGCGCTGTGTCGCGGTCGGGGGCGCGGAGAGGCGCGGTGGCCTCCGCGCCCACGGGCCGCCCCCGGCCCGGCCGGGGCCGCGGCGCGGGGAGGGCAGCGGAGGCCTGGCGTCAAGTCGGGCCTGTCCCTCATACAGGGGGATGTTCGACAAGAAAAAAAAAAAAAAAGTGATCCAAAAATAATCCAGACATAGTCTGGGGACTATTTTTGTTATTTTGGGGTATTTTGGGGTGCATGCTTGGTGCATGTTTGGGGTATTTTTTCTATTTTTCGTCGAAAATCCCCCTGTAGGGAGACACGCCCGACTGAAGCCTGGCGGCGCCGAAGGCCAGGATATACATGTGCGGGCATGCAATCACGGCTGATATGGTGCACGCCTGGAGGCCTCCCAGATGGGGTCCGAGATGGGGTCAGGGGATCGCGCCGCAGCGCCAAGGCATGGGCGATTCATCGACGACGGCGGCGATGCATCGGCGGCGGCGGCCTGAAGAAAATTGGGCTCCACAGCGAGCCGCATCGGCGATGCATCGGCGATGCAGCGCGATCGTCCGACACCTCATCTCCTTGGATCCAATCTGGGATTCCTAAAACACCAGAATCCTTGGTGCCATTGCACCAGGACTGAAGCGTCCCGATCGTTCTCGCCACTTTAATCGCCGACAATGCACAACTCATACAAAGCTTTCGAAAATCCAGACGACATCGTCGGTGGGAACATCAAACGTACACGTGGTGTAAGGTCGGGCTTGGATAAGCTAGCGCATGGAACGAACCCAAAACAGAAGGGGACACACTGGCTGGAGCTGGAGAAACTACAGGCAAATTGGCCAGGGCTACAAAAAGTCGAAGGGCGGGCTGGCCCCAGCCACTTCTTCCAGTCTCCCTGTACAATCGAGTCGACCCCGTCTTTCGACTCGCGGAGTTTGCGCCGTGTGTCGATTCCAAGGGGTCCCGCGGCCCGAACCGGGCCCCTGAAAGGAGTTTGCGACCGTGCACGCACGCAGTGGCGTCGCCGCCACGTCGAGGCGGCACAGGCCTTCTGAAGGTCTCATGCAGCTTCCTGACATCTCAGGAGTTCGCGAGAGGCCTGAGGAGATCCTCCGATGTTCCTTCAGGCCCTCCGGTGGCATCCAAAGGCCCTCCGAGATCCTCCGAGGCTCTCCGAAGATCCGACGGCATCCCCAGGCCCTCCCGAGGCCTCCCGCGACCTTCGGAGGTCTCCTCATCAGGGAGGACAGCAAGACACGAACACCGCTGCTCTCTGGATCTCCCATGGGGAGCCGGGTCCTGACTGGGATCCAGAGGTGAAGCCAGCCGTGGGCGGTCCCCTTCCTGACAGGGGACAAACAGAAGCCGTTACCCCTGCTCCCTGGACCTCCCTCAGGGCGCGGTCTGGCCAAGATTCAGACGCGAATCCAGACGTGTAGCGACGCGGGCCCCAGGAGGCCCGAGAGAAGGCGAAAGCGAGGGAAGGGGAAGGATCTCGAAACGTCTTCGTTTCTGAGAACCTTCCTTGGACCAATCGCTAACCCCCTAAGGTTGACAAGCCCCAATCGGTGGCAATATCAAATAAGCGTCGTCAGAAGCAGAGGGGATCATCAACATCGGCACCGAGGTAAGGTTGTGCAAGCCATACGGGTAGGGATTTGATTGAAGCTGGGCCACATACTCAGCACTGGTCAACACAATAATAACACGCCACTTGCCCAATTACCTCGCGCGAGCCGAACCCAAACAAAAACACGCAATGCCCGTATACACACAGACACACACCGCAGTGCAGGACAGCCTCTTGACAGCCCCCCATGCGATCCAGCCCTCACGCGTCTTGAACAGCTTGGAGAACGGCGGGCCCCTGCCATGTCGACGCGGGCGCTGGCTTCTGACAACGCGTGGATCGGTCAACCTTGACCGAACTCGCGGCATTTCCGAGAGCGCAAGTCGTTCAACACCAGCCGATTCCCGGCCATTGACAGCGTTCAAGGATTAACGCCCTCGCCAGGGTATCCGCCGCGCCAGCGTGGCGCAAGCCCGCCTTCGGGGGTGGCTAAGGGCGCCCTCTGGCCCACGGTGCCCCCGAGCTTTTTGCTACATCTTGGAGCCTCTAGGGCCCTCTGGCTTCGTGCGGGGTGCTCTGGAGGCCGCGGGGGCCTCCTTGGAAATCCTGGGGGCACCCTGGTTGGGCCACGGGCACTCCTGGCAACCCCCGACGCCCCGGGCCGGCTCGCCCGTGGCTCTACGCCCGGGCCCCTGCCAGGGTCCGAACGGACCCAGTTCCAGAGCTGCGTCCAGCCGCGGCGACGAGGGAGGCCCCCGAAGGCCAACCACCGTTGTGTCAGCTGGCCCTCCTGCGACAAGATCGCCCACCACTGCGAGGAGCCCCCCCCCCCCTCGAGCGGCGTGCGACGCGGTCCGGGGGCATCTCGCTCTCAGGTATCAGCTCGCAGTGGTTGTCCCCGTCCAGCTCCTGGAGGCGGTGGTGATGATGATTCATACTGGTGATGACGATGCTGGTGATGATAACGATGATGCTGAGGCTAGTGGCGCCCTCCCCTCCTCTTTTTCATTGGCGAGGCACCAAAGCTTCGAGGCCGCTCCCGGCTGGGGATGATGGGGATGATGATAATGATGATGATGATGATGATGATGATGATGATGATGATGATGATGATGATGATGATGATGATGATGATGATGATGGTGGTGGTGATGGTAGTGATGATGATATTGATGCCGCTGATGATGATGATGATGATGATGATGATGATGATGATGATGATGATGATGATGATGATGATGATGATGATGATAATGATGATGGTGATGGCGATGATGTCCCCGTCCTCGCCCTCGAGGTGGGCGCACGGGAGGCGGCGCCGTCGGGAGGCGCAACGCTCGTCCTCGTCGTCGCCTCCGCCGCCCGTGTCCCGTGTGCGCCGCCATCCTTGCGCAGGCGCCGCCCTCCGCCGGAGGAGGGGGAGGAGGAGGAGGAGGAGGAGGGAGGAGGAGGAGAGGAGGAGGAGGAGTGAGGAGGAGGATAGGGGGCCACACATGTGAACCCTACCCCTACCCCCACGATTTCTGGGGGGAGGGTGGGGTTCACTTCGCTCGGGAGCTCCCAACGAAGTGAACCCCACCCTCCCCCTCAGAAATCGTGGGGGGTAGGGGTAGGGTTCACATGTGGCCCCCTCGAGGAGGAGGAGGAGGAGGAGGAGGAGGAGGAGGAGGAGGAGGATGAGAGAGGGAGGAGGAGGAGGAGGAGGAGGAGGAGGAGGAGGAGGAGGAGGAGGAGGAGGAGGAGGAGGAGCCGTCGTCCGCTGCCCGCCGTCGGCCGGCCGCCGGCCCTGTCGCTCGAGGCCGCCGGCGACTGCAGGCAGTCCTCGAGAGCGGCCCCCCCCACACTGGTCAGGAGGCAACTACTGGGAGGCGTTCGTCGGAAAGCTTAAGTACACCCTGCGAAATGCTTAAGAAATCATGAGTTAAGAAACTCAGAGTCTCAGAACTGGAATTCGCCGGCCCAACGGGCCAGGGCGTGCTAAAATCTAGTATTTCTAGTTCGCGCGCGCGGGGCGGCCCCTGGGGGTCCCCGGACGAAAAGTACCCCGGCAAGGTCCCGGCAAGTCCCCGGCAAGGTCCCGGCAAGTCCCCGGCAACGTCCTGGCAAGGTCGGGCCAGAGATGCCGGAGCCCTGTTACAGGGCCCCAGGACGGGCCAAGAGGTCCCCAAGAAGCCTCCAAGACGGTCCAAGAGGGCCCCGAGACGGCCAAAGATCGCCCGAAGACGCCCAACAGGGCCCCAAGACAGCCCAAGAGGCCTCCAAGACGCACCAAGGGCCTTCCAAGAGGTCTCCGAAGAGGGCCCCACCAGGCCAAAATCGTTGATTTTCATTTTTTGTTGTTCGATGTTTTTTGCGTTCTGGCTTTTTCGGCTTCCGGACGCTCCAAGACGGCCCAAGAGGCCCCCAAGACCGCTCCAAGACGGCCCACGAGGCTCCCAAGACGGCCCCGGAACGGCCCAGGAGGGCCCCCAAGACGGCCCAAGTGCCGCCCAAGACGGACCAAGAGGCCCCAAGACGGGCCCAAGAGGGGCTCAAGAGGAGAACCGAGAACTGAAAAATCGAGCCCTCCGCCCCAGAAGGCGCCCAGGAGGCCCCAAAAAGGCCCCAAGAGGCCCCCAAGAGGCCCCCAAGACGCCCCAAGAGGCGCCCAAGAGCCCCAAAAGAGGCCCCAAGAGGCCCAAAAACGGCCCCCAAGAGGCCCCCAAACTCGGCTAGCCCACAACGGTGCGACAATATGGGCCGGCGGAATGAGCGAAGCGATTAAATAAAAACCCAACAGTTCTATCAAAATCTTAGGATTTACATTGAAACGCGTTAAGAATAATCGAGACTCTGGCCGAAAACTTCGTTTTCTTAAGCATCGCCTAAGGTGTAGAGAGGATTAGGCCCCATTTGGGGGGCTGTTCATTACGCCGGAGTGGGCCCCGGATCAAGCCAGATGAAGCTGGATGATAAGCCGGATCCAGCGGGAGTAAGCGGGATTCAGCCGGATTGAGCTGGACTTCGGACCAGGGCGAAAACAGGATTTGACCTCCCAGGAATTGCATCCGAACACAGGTCTGGGGCGCCTTCTGACAGAGATTCCGAGAAAGACTGGTCAGGGAAGAGAGTCCCCCCCCCCCGAAGACGGGTTACTGAAAACGTGCATGTCAGAACCGCGTCGCCCTCCTCGTTCGACGACGACGGACAGAGCACGGACGGCGGCAAGCGACCGACAACCGGCGATCGACGGAGCACCGGCAAAGGACGGATGACAACCGACGACGACGACTGAAACGACGGACGACGGACATAAGAAGACAGACGACTGACGACGGACGGAAGACAGACGACGCATGGTGACGACGATCACAGAATCACCAGCGTCATCGGGTGCTCAGAAAGAGGGGGGCAGGAGGAAAGGGGGGAGGCGCATCATAGCCCAAGGAGCTTGCACGGAGGAGGGGAGGGGGGGGCTGCGGAGCGTGCTGAAAAAACACAAGGAGATCATGAAGTCTCGGGAATCCAATGGCCTGCCAGTAAGATTCACATATATATATATATACAAATACATTTACATATACATATACATATACATAAGCACGCCTAATCCTCACCTTTCCCTTCGACGACAGATGGTTCTCATGTCGTTCTGGCAATCGGCAGCTTGTCAGGACGACCATGGCATCCCCGGAGAACTCTCGACGAACCGCAAATGCTGGAACGCACCTCGAGGCGAAACCTTCAACGCCAACGAAAACGTCCACCCTCTCACCCCTCAACGACGAAACCATCCTCACACACATATGACAACTTTTGGGAGGTCCTCCGTAAGAGCGATACGGGCGATTCACCCAAATTCAGGGCCTGGATTCGATTTGAGAAATCCCAGTAGTGAGCTGGATGAGGGACAAGCTGGATTCAGCGGGAGTAGGCCCGATAGGCCCGGTGTTCGACCACGGATGTGCCACCACCGACGCTGGATTTTATCCCCCAAGGGTTGCATCCAAATTCAGCATCTCGTGTTAGCTGCATGTTCGACAGATCTTGTCCGCGTCGAGTCCGCGTCCGAAACGATGTCGGCCTCGCTAAATTCAGGGGGACGTAAGACCTGGGTACAGGGGACTCGGAAATCCCCGACGAGGTCGTCAAAAAAATGACGAGGCCGAGCCTGCATTTTGACGAGGCCTTCCGCTGCAGACATCCCACGAAACTCCTCCTCGTCAAAATCCGAGGCGCGGTCGTCAAAAAACGATGGCGAACCCGAGTCCTGGCAAACCGGGGTCTTACGCTCCCCCGATAAATCCGCGTCGAATCACGCCGAGTCGGCGCCGAACCCACTCCAGCTCCGCGCCGACTCCGCACCGAGCCCGCGCCGGGCGCAGGGCAAAAAGACACCCACTTCGGGCACGGGCGGCGTCCCCCGAAGGTGCAGCGCCGCTCTGGACGCCCCAGAGCAGCGCGAAGTCGGGCCGGTCCCCCTACAGGGGGATTTTCGACGAAAGATAATAAATACCCCAAGCATCATCAAAAAAAACATAAAAATAGTCTGGGGACTACTTTTGGAGTATGTGTCGACCTTTCTGGGGCATTGTTGGGGTCTTTTTTTCATTTTTGCTCGTCGAACATCCCCCTGTAGGGGGACAGGCCCGACTGAAGACCCTCGGCGTCGGGCGGGGGACCGGCGGCCAGCGGGGCCAGTCCACCCTCGGCGTCGGGCGGGGGACCGGCGGCCAGCGGGGCCAGTCCATCTTGAACCAGTGACCGTGGCCTCTGGAGGAGGAGGAGGAGGAGGAGGAGGAGGAGGAGGAGGAGGAGGAGGAGGAAAGGTTGAGGAGGAGAGGGGGAGGAGCGGAGGAGGAGGAGGAGGAGGAGGAGGAGGAGGAGGAGGAGGGGGAGAAGGCGGAGGAGGAGGAGGACGAGGAGGAGAAGGAGGAGGAAGGAGGAGGAGGAGGCGGCGGGGGAGCGGCGGACAGCCGGGCCGGTCCGTCTTGAACCAGTGCTCTTCGAGCAGGGCCGTGGCCGTGGGCCTCTTGGACGGGTCCTGCGGCGCGCCGCTGCCGCTGCCGCGGCCGCTCGGGGGGAGCGGGCCGGCCAGGCGCCCGCCGCCCTCGTCGTGCCCCAGCTCCTCCCTGCGGCCCTCCTCGCCCTCCTTCTGTTGGTTCCCCTCCTCGTTCTTCCTCCCTCCTCCTCCTCCCCTGCCCTCCTCGTTGTTCCTCCTCCCCCCTCCCCTCCTCCTTGTCCTCCTCCTGTTGCTCCCCTCCCTCCTCTCCCTCCCTGCCCTCCCCCCTCTTGCACGGCTTCGGGGGGAGGACAACGAGTGGGGCCACTTCTGGATTCGGACGACGCATCGCCCAGTCGCGAGAACTCGGCGACTCATCATCACTCACCACCACCGCCATCACCATCACCATCGCCGCCGTCATCGCCACCACCATAGCCGTGAACCCATCGCCGTCGACATGTTCAGCACCACAAAACCATCGCCGTCATCGGAACCAATGAGTGTTACGCGGCCGTCTGTCTGGTGTTCCAGGGCACTCCTCTGCGCTCGGGGCCCCCGTGGTCCGACGCGACGTGCACAAACCTAAACTTCCTCTGGCTGTCCCTCGCCTGGTCTGGACCGGCACGTGCGGACGTCGGCTCGGCGAAACCCCATGCATACGCCAGGCGCAGCCGCAGTCGCGTTGGGACCAGGCCGCCCCGCTCGGCCTCATTGCCTGCGTCTGACGGCGGCCCGCGGCCAGCTGCCACCCCGCCCCTGGCCCCCGGCGGCCTATCGCCCGGGGTGCGGGCGTGGCCACGCCCCCTTCGCAGGGCCCCACAGGCTCCCCCGTGAAGCAGTTCTGGGCGGTCCCCGTCGGGAATGCTCCTGCTCTCAGGATGCCTCGGCGGATTCCCCCCGCAGGCTCTCACGAAGGGGCCCAGGGACACGCAAAAGAAAGTACTCTCACGGGTCCCTGGATCCCCCATACTTTTCTCCGTACTTTCTGGGGTGTTCGTCTTCCCCCCCCCATCTTCTCATATTATTTTCCCATGTCTTCCAGGAAACGACGATCCACTGTGTCTGTGCGCCTTCTGATCTGAACGGGGCCCCCCGCGGGGAGCCCTCAATCGGCCCAGGCGGCGGCGGCCGCCAAGACGCCTTTGGCGGGGGCACCCTCCTCTTCCTCCTCCTCCTCCTCCTCCTCCTCCTCCTCCTCCTCCGCTTCCACCTCCTCCTCCTCCTCCTCCTCCTCCACTTCTTCCTCCTCATCCTCCATCTCCTCCTCCTCTTCTTCATCCTCCTCCTCCTCCGCCTCCTCCTCCTCTTCCTCCTCCTCCTCGGGGGGTGGGGGCACAGGCGAGGACGTCGAGCAAGGGGAGGGTGCGCAGGCTCGATCTGAAACTGTCCCCTGCGACCCCTGCAAATATCTGTTGAAGAGCAAGATCCGCAACGACAGCAATGATTCAACCCATGCCTTTTCACGGGCGCGCGAGACAGGTCCGCTGACATTCCCCTGGTCCAACGAATGATGCCACAACCCCACGGACTACCTACCAGACCACCCCAACCAAACCCCAAGACCTGCATTTCGGGTTGGGGGGGGGACGGGTTCCATATGTGTTTTGTCAATGCTCCCCGACACCCCCTCCCACTGGTAACTGGAGGGCAAATTGAGGCCTTCGGGTTGGGTAGGGGTGGCTTGGTGGGTGGTGACCCACGTGGTCCATACAACGAAGGAGTTCCATGGCGCCGTATCCTTTTTTGACGGACCTCGAAGGGTCGCGACGGCGCAACCAAGATCCGCGGCGAACGTCACAGGGTGAAAAATAGGCGACGCTGCCGCTCCGAGAACAGGCAGTGACGCACGCGGCGCCTGCCTGGCGCGAGTGGAAGGCAGCGACATGCAATGTGTGGTGGTATGGTGCGGACCCCGGCCGACAAACTAGCGTTTAAATTGCGAACTATCCATATAGATATATATAAACATATATATAATATATATATATATATATATATATATTAAAAATATATATATATATATATATATATACACACACATGTATACCCTGGAACCTCTCCCATAATCATTATGATCGTCTCTTGTTCGCGTATCCTATTCCATTTCCAGGTATGTTCCTCGCCGTCCTCCTCGTCCTCATCCTCCTCTTCCAATTCCTCTGTATGTTCATGTTTTTTCCCAGCATGCCAGAATATGTCTTCACGAACCCTCGTCCTAGCACTTCTCATGTATATCGTATATATCGCGTTTTCTCGTTCGTGGTTTCTCTCTCCCTCTCTCTCTCTCTGTCTTTCTCTCTCACTATCTTCTATCCCTCTCTCTCTCTCACGTTCTCTCTCTCTCTCTTTCTCTCTTTCTCTCTCCCTCTCTCTCTCTGTGTCTCTTTATGTACGCGTATATCTCTCTCTCTCTCTCTCTCTTTGTCGCTTTCTCTCTGTTTCTCTCTCCCTCTCTCTCTCTCTCTCTGTGTCTCTCTCTGTCTCTCTCTCTCTCTCTCTCTCTCTATCTTGATCCATGTTCTAACTATCCCTCTCTCACTCCCTCTCTCCCGTTTGGTGGACCTGCATATCGTTATGTGTCCTCTCATCAGCCTCGATGTGTCCTCCTCCTCGTCCTCTCCGCTTTCTCGCCCCCCCACACCGTTTCCTCGCCCCTCCTCGCCGCCGCGTCGGAGCGAGTCACGGCGCGCGCCCGCGCCTGCAAGGCAGAAGCGGAAAGCGTTATCCTCCTGCACACAAAAGAAGCTCCCCCTCGACAGAGCTCTCGCGGCGCGGACCAGTCCGAACAAATGCGGCTTGGCCTGCGAATCCACTGCGCATCGCAACGGCAGGTGGCAACAACAAGCGCGTTTAGGATGCAAACAACCGCGCGGCAAACCGAACAAAAAACCGCGAAACATAGCGGCGTTATGTTTCCGATCTCCGAACTTTGACAACTCCATGTGCGAACGCGTAGACGGCGCAATGCAAACTGCGCGCTTCGCACCAGACACGGCGGCGAGCCTAGTTTCGCGAAGACAAGGGAACTGCCCCCCGACCGACGCCCCGCCCCCCCCCCCGAAACACCGCCCCGCCCCGCCCCCCCGCAATCCCTCGGACCGGCGAGCGACAGACAATGGCGGCAACCTGCACCTTGCGAGCGCGGGGAGGGGCCAGCCGCAACTCTCCCGCCGCACCCCCCTTACAATCCCTCGGACTCGCGCGTGGCAGACTATAACTACCAGACCACCCCAACCCAACCCGAAGACCCAAATTTCGGGTTGGGGGGAAGGGTTCCACATATGTTTTCTCTGTGCTTCCCGACCCCCCCCGCCACTGGAAACCGAGGGTAAATCTGAGCCTTCGGGTTGGGTTGGGATGGTTTGGTGGGTGGTGACAGGCCATGCGGCGACCTGCGCGAACGCGGCGAACTGCGCGAGCGCGGCGCCGACTCGACGTCGCGGCGGCCCGGCGCTAGACCGCGGCCGGGGACCGACCGAGGGCGCGCGGCCGGGCCCGCGGGCGCGGCCGAGAGCGCGGGGGGGGGCGGGGGGCGAGAAATAGCGGGCGGCGGAGCACGAGCCTGCATGCCCGAGCAAGCGCACGGCCGCCCCCCGGGGGCGCAGGCGACCGAGGAGTGGAGGAGGAGGAGGAGGACGTAGCCACGAGGAGGAGGAGAGGAGGAGGAGGGCAGGAGGAGGAGAGGGAGGAGCGGGAGGAGGAGCAGGAGAGGAGGAGGACGAGGGGGAGGAGGAGGAGGAGGGAAAGGAGGAGGAGGAGGAGGAGGAGGCGATGGAGGAGGAGGAGGAGGAGGGGGAGGACGGGGGGGAGGATCAGGAGGAAGAGGAGGACGAGGAGCACGGGGGGGAGAGGGGGGACGGGTCGCCTGAGCCCTTCGGACAAACCCTCCACGAGCAAAAGGGCGTCGCGGGGGGCCGCGGGCGCGGGCCGCAATGTCGCGCGCGGCGGCCGGCGTTGTCTCGCGCTGGCGCCCAAGCATCATCGGGCCGCCTCGCGTCCCTGGCCCCGCGCGGCTCTGCCCGCCCCCGTTGCTGCACCGCGGAGCTGGGTGGCGCGA